GAATGCCTAGAGGGGACAGGTGAGGGAAGAAGGTTCCCGCTGAATCTCCATCTAAAAACAAAAGCAGCAGGCCCAAATTAAAAAAAAAAAAAAAACACAGTTGGAGCTGTCAGGCTACTACTGGCCTGGAGTCAAGCAGTCAGCCTATCTGCACCCAAAGCCAAAATCTGCCAATTCCAGAGTAAGCAGAAAGCCCATAATGTGTTGGGCCAGTTAGATGATATTCATCCTTGTAGATAATTTTAGGCTCATCAATTTATGCTATGACTCATGCTTACTCATGTCATGGTTAGCCTGGGGAAGGGCTTCTGTGATTGCTGTCAGCTGCCAGTCTTCCCCCTCCCACTGACTTCTAACTCTTGGCCAATTTTACTCACATCCAACAAAGGGCTGAAGGGCACTTACACCGCAAGTCCCTACAACAGGTCTCCACGGGACGTGGCCCAAGGGTTGACTGCAGCTCCTGAAGCTATTTGTTCCGTCTGCCAGCAGCCGCGAGGAAGCACAGGCGGTTTGGCTTGCCGGGCAGCCAAAAGGCAGCAGCCAACTGGGCAATCGGTGTTCTTGTAGCTTTGGGCTCTTGCACGCATGTGGAGTCTCTTATGCAGTTCGTGGCAAGCTACAGGAGTTGAGGGCTTGAGGGAGGAGGGAAGCTGAGGGGAAATGTATGTGTGGTGGCTGCAGAATCAGAAAGGCACACCACAGTTCAAAGCCCTGTAAAACCCGGTGTCGCTGGTTGTGCTGCTCACCTGTTACCTATCTCCTCTCTCTGTATCTCTGTACTTTTCAAAAGTTTTTGGGACACTATTGTTTCCCTGTCTCCTTCAATAGTAAGTTCCACAGGTTTGTCCTACCATAATACGCACAACATAAGCCCTGCGTCATCTTCGATCTGTTACCTTTCAAAAGTACCCTCTTCAGTTATGCACAAACACGGAACTAAATAAACAGCGAGAACGCCTGCCTTCTGTGACAGTCACTGAACTTTCTGTCACGCTGACTCTGGCTGCAGGGTAGAAGTACAAAAGAGACATTCACAGTCTTTAAAGACTCCGGAGATTTCTGCACTGAAGAGCGAGCTTCTGACTCACAGCTCCATGTTTCCACTATGGACAAAGAGCTGGAATCGCAGTAAAGGAAAGCACTACTTCCTATGGCGCAGGATCACTACAGGTGTGTGCCATCTTTTCACTTTCCTTGCACTGTGACATTCTTTGCGCAGGTCCTAGTTAAAACACGAGCTAGTGTCTTCACAAGCAGTGGTTTCACATACAAGGCAACCCCAATCTCCCATGCAGTCTCTGCAGCACCACTCGTATGGACACAAACTGGAGTAAAAACACATATTATGGTTCAGCCCCTGGGATTACAAGTTCTGACTGACCGGGTCTCTGACAAAATCTGCATGTTCTTAAGAAATTTCACTACTTGGATAGCATGGAAACCCAGATGAAGAACACTACAAGGGAGAATCATCCAGTGGCTGAAGCACTACGGCCATCTGCTGTCAAAGGACAAGCTTTCAAGCAGTTTCTTGAACTTTGCCTCTACAAGTTTTCAGCATTTGCTAGAGGCTGTAGCTAGACTATGCATAGGGGTGTTGAGCAACAAGCAGCAAGCAAATAGGTCTAAATTGTGACAAATAATTTATTCCATTTCTCCTTTGAACACTGAACCGACTTTGCTTTCAGCGCAGGGTTCTTGCAGCTTGAACTTGCAGAAATGATCTGCAAGCCCTTCCTCCAAATACTGGTGGTTCTTGCTGCAGCTTTACACATTGGCTTGCAGGGGGGACTGTAAACTTTTGGAAGAGTTTCTCTGACAAAAAGATAGTGGAATGAGGAATTCTCATTGTCTGTGATTTAAGGACCAGTCCTCTAAGAAGCAAGTCTGCCAAGAATAGGACTGTGCCTTGCCTTGCTGGGTGGTGAAAGCCTTTAGGGATTATCTAGTTTGCTAATGCCTCCCAACATACTGGAAGCATCCAGCAGCCTGGGTACATGTGATAGCTTGTATATGTATGTTCATGTACACAGATGAACCCTCTATCCCAAACTATTAACAAAGAACAAAAAGAAATGCCTGGAGCATGACAAGTGGGAAAGGCAAGAGGGAAAACAGGGATATTAATGCTCTCAGGAACTATATCTGGATTCAGACTTCTTTTTTTTTTTGAACAAATTTGCAGAGAAGGTAGAGTAAATCAAGTTCAAGTTCATTAAATCCCCATATCTATGCTCTGGGGCAATACAGTACATGGATCCATGATCTCCTCAGAACATTTACTCAGTGTTACACAGGCTTATCAATCTCCGTGGAGTATTCAGCAGCAGTTAACTCTGCTGATCAAAGGAACTTCCCATGCACCTTCACACCTGACAGAAATGGGCAGATGTAATTGAAGACAGCTCCGTTCACTTTCATGCTAGATCTCTGAAGGCTGTGATGGGCAGCTGCTTCATTTCCCTGTTGTCTGTCCAAGCTGCAAACTCTCAAAGGGCTCAACTTTGTCATTTCATAAATGTGAGACCTTTGGGAAATATTGTTATAGTTTCCAGCTCTTCCCTGATCCTTGATGCTGCATCTAGTTCTATGCAAATAGGGTCAATAAAGTTTTGCTGATGCTGTCTTCCTGTGAAATGAGGACCTGAACAAAACAAGCAGGTTACTTAAGGGCAATCCTAACTGGACTGACACAACATAGGTTGAGGACAGGAAAAAATTATAAGAAACTAATGTCATTTTCACTCAGATCCTGTTTTCAGCCAGAATGATGATTAGTCATAGAGCTGCTCTTCATTCTGCAGAGCCGAACAGGAGCAGCAGTGCCACCTTCCACCTTTTACTAACCAGATCACTGGGGACACATTTTTCTAACCCAGCTATCAAAGGTCATTTATTCAGTATAGTTTTCCAGACTGGACTTTGCAACACACGAAATCCGTTCAGAAACTGCATTTGGTACACAGTGCTGGTACCTGCCTTCTAAGAAGACATCACATTAAAGTTCTGGAACCTATCTCCTTATTTTGGTCCTTTTCTTTAAAGGAAGAAATTAGAGCCCATTATCTCAGTACTTATTTTTTTCCATACCTCACCACATTAGCAGCATTTGAGGAAATGGTCCAGAAAACAAAATTAATATTTGAGCTCATGAGACATGGATAAAGTTGTTCTCCTTGAAAGATCCAAGACAATTGTATTCTTTTCCGTAACACCTCACATCTCACAATTTTCAAACAAGATGCTTTTTCAGGCTCACCTTTCTTGTAGGAGTTTGAAACGATGATGTCGTAAATCACTCTAAAAGTACTTTAATCAGTAACTAATGAACAGTATGAAATAATAGCTTAAATGAAGCTGCCTTCTTTCCTCCTTCAAAAGAAAGCCTTAGAAATGCATTTAATAATACGATATAAAAAAAGGATGAGGAGAATTTCAAAAATTAAATGCTGCTTTTATCCTTTTTTTCCCCAGCTTCCCTGCTATTACAAATGGTTCTTGGAGTAAAATCATAGCGTAGGTAGCTGTAGGTCTGTATTACTATAAAAATGCAGAAGCGGGATGCTGGGTTCAAATCCTTTCTAACATTGGCTCAGAATATCCCATGGCAGTCCCTGTGCTCGTCATTGGCCCTGTGTCAGACAATGTGTCTCTTAATGGGAGGCGGGGAAGCTCAGAGCATCAGTCTGTAAGGTACACCGAGACTCCTAGATAAAAGTTGTCAGAAAAAAAAGATTTACAAATTATTATTATTTGCATTGGAGGAAATACAACTAGAACTAGGAGACAGCAAGTAAAAGCTGGCTTTCCTAGAGTTAAATACTGATTTTAACTTGCATCTGCGTGTGAGCTGTAGCCTGTATTGTCCCTAAATCAGGCAGCAGAGTTAACTTCACTCATCACGCAAAGCTCGCTGAGGTGCAGGGAACTGGAGGTCATTGCTCTCACACTAGAGATTCCTAACAGTAACACTGCTCTGGTGACGTTTCCATTCTTCAAAATACATGTTTTTAAAAGAGCAAGTTATTTCTTAAGCTGC